GTCAAAGAAAAGAAAAATCACGAATGTGCAATTGATGAAATACCAAGTAGATTTCACCCGTGAGGATGTTGAAATGTGTTCAATGCATCACCTGTGCTTAACATATAAATATCAGGACTGTAAAAAATTTTTGGTAAAAGCTGGCTCTTCATTAACCGAGCATATATTAACAAAAATTGAAAAATCAACACGAGACCAGTACCAAAACAAATTATGGTTTGAGTTGCGATATGGGCGGATAACTGCATCAAAATCCCATGATGTCATTAGATGCAAAACCCCTGATGGGAGCTTAATTGCCCAAATTATGGGAGGTAAACTACCTGATACTTCTGCAATGAACCGTGGAAGAAGATTAGAAGATGCTGTACGCAAAGTAATAGAGGTTAAATTTAATATTAAAATACAAAAATCTGGTTTATTCATATCCAAAGAATATATAATGATAGGTGGTACACCAGATGGTATATGTGATGACTATGTCATAGAAATTAAGTGCCCAACAAGTGAAAATACATACAAAAACTATGTGAAGGAAAAAAAACCTACAGAGAAATATTATGCACAAGTGCAATTGCAAATGTTTTTATGCGGCAAGAAAAAGTGCTATTTTTGTGTAGCAGACAGCAATTTTGAAACTACTCAAAGTGTTGATATATTCCAAGTTTATCTGGACACTGAATATGTCAATAATTTACTTGTTAGTGTTTCAGAATTCTGGAAAAGGTACATTTATCCATTGCTTTATAAAAGTGTACAATAAAAATAAAACATATTTTCCATTAAGTAATGTCTTTATTTTATAACAGTCTTTATATAAATATTATAAGATTGGTGAGTTAGGTTGGCTATCTTTTTATGATGAAGATTATTATATGAAGAAAAATTTAAATGTCTTTTATTTAATGACTGAGTCCTGCAAATTGATTAAAGCACATGCTATTATAACTACTTCATCAAGTATTCTAATGAGATTATTGTTAATGCAAGCATGAGGTTTTAACATGGCAAATTCTCTTAAACGGCGTATCACCCTCTCTATATGTATCCTTAAGCTTGCAATTTGCTTAGTCTGTCGAGCTTCTTGTTTTGATAATTTTAATCCAGTACTCACACTTGGAGGGCGAACTAACTGAAGGCCTGCCTTGAGCACCATTTGCTCTATATGTTTGAAACCCCTATCTGCTAGAATACAAGAACCCTTCTCCAAAGTATTTAAGAACTTACAATGCTCTACTACACACATGTCACTAGTCCTTCCTCCATAACCTGGTGAGATATAGTTTATCAAACCATCTGGTGTACTAGACACCAGGTATTTTAACGTATTTGCCTTTTTATAGTCAGACCATGTTAAAGCTTGATGTACAGCATTTGAGGGTTTTTGGATTTCAATTTCAAAACAATCAATAATACAACTTACATTGTGGTATTTGTGTCTAAATGCCATAGGTAAAGACCGTTTAACTGCATTTTTTTCCAAATTTACAATAAAAGGCTGCATTACACCACAAATTATTGGTACATTTTTTAAAAATATTTTACTGGCATAAGACACTGACATTCCAAAATCATCTGCAAGTTCAGAAAATTTTCTATCTAACCTAATTTTTTTTAAACATAACAATATATGTTTTTGTGGAATATTTGTGTGCATGCTTATAATATTAATTAAATAATAACAATTTTCTGGTAACCCAATATAAAACCTTGGCCTTTTCTCAATTTTACTAATAGTCATTTGCACAATTTCTTCCTCATTAATTACTTCTTCATTAACACTACTATTTTCTGAAAATAATGATACATCACTATCAGACTGTTTTTTGTTATTACCAATGCATTGCTTTGTAGATGTCTTGGCAGCACTAGATATGGATGGTACTGACTTTCTGCTAACTTCCAATTTCTGAGAGGCTGAAATAGATGTAGCAGGGATTTTCATTGGTGATACTCCCCTGCTCCTAACCTGTATTGCAGTCTGTGTGGTTTTGCTTCTAAATTTATTATGAATGGATACTTGTATTGATTGGTCTGTTGTTCTTGGTTTACACACCACAGGTTGAACCACATCTGAAAATAAAAGTTACTTTTTAGAAAGTACATATTTCAATTTATTATACCTTATTATTATACAAGTTATAACTTACATTTTTTGAGTATTGCATTTAAAAAATGGTGATAACTTCATTCCATTAGTGTGTATCACGCTGTATAATAATTTTGTTTGTAAATTTTAGAGAATTACAATAAGAAATCGATATGTTTCAGCTTTTCTTTAAAAATTTTTATATTTTAGTAAACAATGAATTCATTTCATTTTTTATGGACACAGTGTATAAATCAACTTGTATAAATATTATTTACCTGTACTTGAGTTTGCATGATCCTCAGCTATGGAAATACATTGTGTAGGGTAAGTTTGTTTTATACCTCTTTCACATTCCAATATTGTTTCCAATCTTTGTCTTTTGACTACTAATTGTCGAGTTGTTGCTTTTTCAGTTCGTCTTTTTCTGTCAGGTTGACATCCAAACTTTGATGGTAAACAACCTTTCCTCATTCGGACCTGTGATACTGAGCCCATCACATGATATTCAGTATAGTTTTCCATATCATTCGGCAACTAAAATTAAACAAGTACAAAACATTAATATACCCAATTATGTTTACATCATTTCTAACCTAAAAATTACAATTTTTGTCTTAGAAAACTTTGAAAAATAATGACTTTTAATATAAAAAAAATAAACAAATAATATTAAAACTTACATCAAAGTGATCCTCACACATATACATTCTAGACTGTGTAGACACAAGTGTTGGATCTCTGCGGGCTAGCTGAAGCCACTTATTTCTGTTGTTTTGCGTACGTGGAACATGAATAAATAACTTTTCAGGTGTTTTATATGTAGTACTTGTACACTGCGGCACCGCACAATACTTATAGAACTTACAATTCATCATTTAATAGAAAATTTACGAAACGCTTTATAGAACCCTATTAACCTTTCAAGTAAACACAACATGTGACGTCACAGCGATCACATGACAAGAATTGATGTTTTGGAGCGAAATTTTAAACTGTCAACTTTCTCACAGCTAGTCAACATCCCTATTACAACATAACAAAGTTCTCAAACGCCAATCCAAGCCGTGGATACTAGGTGGAACTTCTCCTATTACATGTTAAAAAGAATGACCGAGTTAGAAGAGGCAATCTGTTCCACATTGGTATTAGTTAATACAGACTTATTATTTCTGGATTATTCGTTCTCAACTTTCCCAAATTATACGGCCTTTTAAAGAAATAACAAGTGCAATGAGTGGCCAAAAATACTTGAAGGGTAGTTCAGTGATTGTTATGGTACGCTGCCTGTAAGAATCTTGCAATAAAATTTAAGAAAACGGTAACCTTACATCCATAGTATCCAATGTAGTACAATTACTAAAATCAAGTTTAGCAAAACATTTAGAGGGATAGAACAGAGTGGCACATTGTCATTATGTACATTTATGGATTCACGATTTAAAGTGCAGGGATTTTCTGATAAAAATGAAGCTAAAAAAAACAAAAAAAGAGTTAAGGAGCTGGTTACTTCTATAATAATTAAAGAAACAGAAGATTGTACTATTGAAAATCAACCAGTACAAGAAAAGGAAACCGATAAAGATGACTTATGTCCATGGTATATTTTTGATCAATTAATTGGACTAGTTATTTGTTTACGAAAAATAATAAATAGTTAACGATAAAAACGTCAACGACCCACCTCTGCTCGTTACCACCATATTAAAATCAAAGTGTCCTTACTTTGACGACGTGAGACGCGACGTTGCCAAATATAAGCTTTTTATTGTGGCGTCATAATGCAGTGTATTATTTTTATTGGGAATAGTGCACAATGTGACTTTAAAATAAACTTATTTTGATGTTTAGATTTCCAATTCGAAAATCGTACTTAAAATATGAAACAATAATAAATTTTATTTATATAAAACGATTTCCTAAGTCGGAAACAAAATGTTAAATTACACTTATTGTAAAGTAAAATTGTGGCATATTCCTAATAAAAATCAGTAAGCTGCCATTTAAATCAATTCGCCCAAATTTGATTATCTTAAGAACATTGTTCAAATGCTAAAAAGACAACAGGTCAAATAAAACCAATAACTTTGGCAACATTGAACTTCCCCCTTTTTATTATTTCCACACATTTTCGGCGATATAAAGGGCGGACTTAATATACCTCTCTCTTTTTAAACAGGTGTTTCTCACTACATCTCACGTAAGGTTCATACCGACCACAAACTTTTATACCTACACTGTATATAAATATTATATTCATTTTATTTACTTTTAACAGAACAAAATCAGACATTCTTTAAAATTTAATTTAATTTCAAAACTTTTCAAGTGATTGGAATTAAATTTTAAAGAATGTTTGATTTTGTTCTGTTAAAAGCAAATAAAATGAATAAAATTGTTTGGTGCCTGTTCTTCTCATATAGCTTTTACTTTACCAGCATATTGACGTTTGAAAATATGTCAAAATGGATCAGGGTATTAGGCAATAAAATGTTTATTCTGTCTGATAATATCATAAACTTGCCTGAGAAGGAATTTGAAAATAGAATTAAAAAATATTGATAAAAAATACCTTTTATACAATTCATGAATATCTACAACATAACCTGACATGTGTAAGATTTTATATTTTAACGTGAATAAACAGTATTAGTATTATTAGTATCCATAATTGAAAAGCAAGAATGTGAAACACAGAAGTTGTGAAATTTGAGGACAATGCTCTAGCAAAATAGCAAAAGTAACACCTACAGTTGGAATCAATAGTAAAACATACTGTAAACTAAAATAATTATTAATTTAGCGGAAAGCTCACATTGTGAATGTTGTTCCTAATCTGGTTTTGTTAGAATACATATTCTTCCACTTACAAAAAAGTTATAGGTCTAATTATTTCTATGGCAAAACTTACCTCCCATCCTATAACAATCTGGATCGACAAATTGATGTGACTTTCTAGGATGTTTAATGGGACACAATTGGGTATTGTTGTTGGATTCCTTGTTCACAGCCTGTTCAGAATTATTCTTCTCTTTAGTTTCCTTTGCAGTATTGGGAGAGGTATTCGGTTTACTTGAACTAAACAAACTAGCCCACGATTTGTTGGCAGGTGCTGGACTAGGAGTTTCTATGTTGTCAGTGCCATTAACTACCACAGGTGCCTTGGGTGTCATTTCAGGTGCTTTGCCTGTGGCACCATTTTCATGTATTCTGTAAATATATGGAAATTTAAACATGATGTTATGAAAGAAGATTTATTTCATTGAACTTACTCTTTGTCTTCAGTAACCCCATTCTGTTTTGGTACCATCTCATTAATAGCTCCCTCTGGAACATGGACTGGAAGTGCATATGTGGTTGGAGGAGAGTAGGTTCTATGGGATATAAAAACTTGTGGATAAGGAGGAGACACTGGTGACATGGCATTGGTGGCATAATATACTATATTAGGCGGATGAGGAATAGTAATTATTGGCTGAACTACAACTGAAGGTTGCAGATGATTGCAGTATACTGATTGAGGGATTATAGGATGTTGGATGTATGGATTGTGATGCTCATGATGTGCAGAACTTGGTACTACTGGTTGTTGGATGTTGCTTAATTCAGGTTCCTTATTCTTTTGCTGGTACTTTCCTGAAAAATGGGTCTTTTATATATCACAGGTTGCTTAATCAACATTTTTTGTGGTTTTATCAATTTATTTTACAATTTTATTGTTAGAAATACATTGTTTTACATACATTGATACAATTAGGAAATAGCTTGAATCATGGTGAACTTGATTCACAAATTAGAATGTCTTAATTTCGTTCCCTATAGTAGTAACGACAAAAAAGCCTAACAAAGACTGAGTAAACATCTTGAACAAAACTATATATAGCATAGTTTTGTGTATGTCATAGGGTCCAAAAATGGTAATATACTTAGCTTGCTCTCTTATTCCATATTTAGAAAATAATTATTACAATTTTATTTTTGAAAATATAATTAAAATTCATAACTGCTCATATGACTCAAATAACTAAAAATTCTATAACTGTATTATATTCAGTAGATAGCTAGTCCTATAAAATTGAACTTATTTCCATTTCCCCTTGAATGATCCATGAATGTTATTAATTTATGTTATGGTGTCCACAGTATTAATTATTATCAAACATAAGATAGCCTACCACTTTATTTTATGGATAACACACCAGACAAACTAACAGTCAAAATTATATAATAATGCAGAATTAGAAAAATATACAATAGCAAGGCAAAAAAGTGGTTCAGTGAAAATAGGCTGTTGCTTAATACTGATAAGACAGTTTTTGTTTACTTTAGAGCCAGCCAGTCACGAGAACATTTCCCAGATACAGTCAATTTTCTCACAATCACAAAGCACAGAACCTACTAGATCAGTTTAATTTCTTAGTCTTCATATTGACCAGAATCTGATTAGGTGGTACAAATACAAAATACAACAAAAAAACTGAATAGAGTCTGCTACTTAGGGGTATTGAAGAAATATCTAGACCACTGAATTTTACTATCAGAGTACTATGATAACTTTTATTCTGTTATGGGATATGGAGTAATCTTCTGGGGCTACTGCAGTGCAAAAAGGGCAGTCTGGGTTATCTCAGGATTAAAGGTGGGAGAATCCTGTAGCAGCTGATTCAAATCACTCAATATAAATACTCACTTTCTCAGTCATCTAAATATTTGAATGTATTATGTTCCTCTTTAGGAATTTTAATTTGTTTTATTACTTGCTTCCAAATCATTAATATAATACAAGAAGCTTTAATTTGAAGAGATAAGTCTCTTGTATGCATGTGTTAAATTTTACAATAGTCTACCATCTGACATTCAATGGGAAACACACTATAGAGCTTTTAAAAGAAAGGATTTTCAACACCTAGATAACATTGAGCCCTATAATGTAGCAAAATTCCTGGCCTATACACAGAGTAGTGACAGAGTGTACTGTTTAAGTGATGAATCCACTTTCAATATTAATAATCATGCTGGAAATGGTTAAAAAATATTTAAGGTAAATGCCTTAAACTTCTATTTTCATGTATTTGGTAAGGTGATGCAGGACTTTTTACCATCACTGTATGTATATAACAGACTGAAAATGTTTTGAAGATTTGTAATCTTTGTGGATAAATTTTAAATACTTTTAATAATAATATACTGTTATACACCAGAAGTCTTTCCTTCTGTGTAAGTGTAATTATGTTACTTTATCAATTCTATGTCCACCAACAATGCATAGGCAGTTGTTAGTCTGGGTTCCAATGGTGAAAATCACGCCTGCCCCCCCTCCATATTCATTTTTTTTAATTTGCAACAATGATATTATTGTAAGTATATGACACATTAACATTTAAACAGTTTACAATTTTTGTTAGCTGTGACTATGCCCACCAGATCTGCTATTATTCCCCATTGTCTTTGATTCATATCATTTGGTTATTGTCAACTGTTCTCAAATTATGTTTTCATTTCTGTATCATTACTCTCTTCTATTAAAAAAGGATAGTGTTATAATGCCTGTTTAAAAATGTAAGTGCAATTCTGAAAAAGATAATGGAAGTAGAAAATAGAAAATATGTTTTGTAGAAATTATAGTAATGTAGAAACAAAAAAATGTACCAATATTAATGTATATTTAACCCAAACAATAACAAAGAAAAACAATTAAAAGTCTTTGAAAGAGCTAATAATACAAAAATGATTCATTATGATAACATATCTATTAAAAAGTTATTTTCTTTTGTTTGCTGATGAAAATTGTTAAGGTAAGTTTCTTCTCAAATTGATCAGATTCTATTGCAGAATGACTTAAATAATCTGATTAAGCTATGTGTAAACAATGGCTTGTTTAGGAATGTACAAAGCTAAAAGTAATTATATAAGCTTTAATAAATTAAATTGAAAGTGAATTTAAAGTATATTATTCATAGTGATGCCCTAAATACTGCAAGGTAATTAAAGATCTAGGTATTTATTATGATGGACAGTTAACTTTTAATATCTATGGCTCCTGGTTTTGTTTATAATCTAGAGTGCTATGTATATACACTATAATATATAAGCAATATAATATATAAGAAATATAATATATTATCATGATAATCCTTTAGAATTTGGTATTTGTATTCTGTATCTAGAAACCTAAGATTCAATTGAATCTTTGCATTACCATATCATACCCATTATTACACATGACTATTAAAAGAACATTAAAAGTTGTAATTGGTAGAGGTATCTATTGAAAGTTTAGATATTTAGTTTTGAAGAATAGTTCTGAAGTGTATGCAATATATAGACAAAAGAAAAATTGTGGAGAAAAAAGATAATACAGAAAAAAAAATAAGTGGGTAAATACAAAAGAAGAGTGACTGCAAATGTGATAGGGAAATGATTCACCTAGAGAGAAACAACAGATACTAGGGACATCAGAGGGTGAAGAATTATTTCTACACTATGCAGTAGTGTTTCTGCAGTTTTGATTAATAGGTTGAAAAATCCAGAAAATCTGACTCTTTCATTTAAAGTATGGTGTAAGGCCTTCTTGTGTTTACTTTCAAAAGAACTCTTAATAATGAAAGTGGAGAAAAGTATTCAGATTTTCTCAAACTGTGTTCAATTGAACTGAACTGAACCAACCTCTTGTAAGCAGGTACTAAAAATTTCATTTGAATTTTCTTTAAGTTTGTATTAGTTTTTAAAATATGTGCAACAGCAAAACTCATAAATCTACTACGATTTTGCGAGAAAACAACTATCTCCTTTTGGACATGTCAATACATTTTGTAAGTCAAAACACAGTACTGCATCACCATTTTCAATATACATCTTTTTCTCTTCTCCCATTAAAATTTTTTCTTGCAAGTGTTTTTCACATTCTTTTTCTTTTCTTCATTAAGGGTGTTTACTTTCTTCAGTCAGTCTATTTCAGCACAGAAGACACATTGATCTTTTGAAGGTTTGTTAAATGAAAAATTGAATTCAGTGCAAAATATTTTGTGATAAACATTAAATTTTACTAGAGTCAAGTCTTTCTCCTTTATGAAATCCTAGTACATATTGTACATTTTTTGCAGTGATAGGTCACTCTCTACATGTTTTCTTTTAGTATCAGCCCTTCAATAATGGCTTTCTATTACATGGAACATATTAACATGTTCTCTAACAAGATGGCTGTTTAATCTGATGTAACTTTTTTTCTATGCTTTCCATTGTTTGCTGATATTGACATGAAATTGGCTGTGTTCCGTTTCTGCTGATAGAATCCTTATTTTAGGTACTTACTCAAAACAATGAAAATCTACTGAGAACTTGTGAAAGGAAAGTCCTAAGAACAATATATGGAGCTATAAATGAAAACAAATTATGGAGGAATCATTTTAATTTGAACTATACCACCTAATAGTGGTAAACTGAAATGGTGATGGGCTTTTCACATAGCCAGAAATGGTGATAACAGATTGATACAGAGAAACAAGGAGGACAAGAATAATGGTAACACTTCAAAAGAGATGGGTAGATAACATAAGAGCAGTGGCAGACAAATAGTGGATTAGATTGGCACAAGATAGAGACAGATGGAAGCTATTGGGAGAGATCTACATTCAGGAGTGGATGGAAAATGGTTGATGAATAAGATATTTTTAATATATAAATATTGGTCTCCACCTACATATACATACAGTAGCCACATATAAAAAGAAAAATCTACAACTAAAATTTCAAAAAATATGTGTTATTGTTAATGTTTACCTTTTTAAAACTTATTAAGAAGAAATGATAGAAATTTGCAACACAAAATCCACACAACTACAGAATACATCTTTTTACTATTACTATGAAACTGGGTAGTGGTGAATTTTAATATGTCCAAATATCCACAACACAGTAGAAGCTCACACATATTTATATATATCAACAATTGATAATTTTGTCAGAGTCCATATTTATGTGTCCAGTATCCATTACTGATTCTTTTTTATAAGTTCTTAAAGGTATTATTTAGCTCATAATTTTTTAAATAAGTACCTTATCAGCTATCGGAATACTTAAGTTGGTTTTATCTATGTCCATACAGTATGCACATTAAAGAAATTGCAGTAATATTCTAAATAACCATGCCATGCAGAAATATAAAAACATTATGGTGCAATATGAATATATCTAATCTTACACCACTAATTTTATACCAGAAATTTAGTATAATAAAATATTATTAAAGAAAACTGAATGTATATTATTTATCAACATACCTTCTGCAAACAACTTTTTCTCTTTCACCCATGGTAGTTGTACACTGGGATCATACTGCTGCAAGGAATTTCTTATATGAAGCTGTTCTTTTTCATCGACTCCATTTAAATCAATGAACTCAATATTGCGCTGGAAAACAAACAAATATTACGGATATTTAGAGTTTACTTACAGCAAGCATATAATATATTATGTCGAATGTAAGATGATCTACTGCAAATATGTAATAACGTAATTAATAGCTTTCTTACCAACTCATCAGAGTCCATTGCGGCAAAAACTACTTCAAATAAGGAAAAATAAATTACAAGTTCATTATATTTGCTATATGAGAGGTAATAATAACATTATTTGAAGTAAATTGTGGTATTGGTTAAGTTTCACGTTACTTTCATTTTTGCTTCAGCTGACAAATGACATTCTCTAGTAACTTCCTGTTGGCAACACTTTAGATTCAAAATTCACTGTATTTTTCAGGATGTCCAATCATAAAGTATAATCCTCTCCTTTAAAAAACGGTTGAGTTTACCGAAAGTACAAGCTGATTATAGCCGCAAATGCCAAACATGGAACAAAAAATTTCGGCTTAGCAGTGTTGGCATGTTTTTATGCTGTAATGTAAATGCTGTATGCTTAAAATATAAAAAGAAAAAGTTTTAGAAAAGTACAGTTAGTTTATATTATGTTATAAATGCTGCAATTTTTGATTTATATAAAACAAGAATGAGTAAATATTTGTTTTATTTTGGATTAATTGCAGTTAATTATTAGATTTTTTTGGCAACTACCCTCTAATAGATTAGGAAATAGATTTATCAATCGTCAAATTAGCAGTTGCCAGATTGCAACAAATGTTTGCAATTAATCTCGAGAGAGACAAATATTTACTCTTTATTGTTTCATATAAATTAAAAATTTGAGAATTCATAAAATAGTATAATCGGGTTGAGTTTACCGAAAGTACAAGCTGAATATAGCCGCAATTGTCCAAAATATTCCGATTTGGCAGTGTTAGTATATTTCATATCATCTTGTCTTATAATCTGTGGATAAGAAGGTTGCATATTTTTATAATGCATATGTTGTATGCTTCAGATATAAATATATAAAGCTTTTAAAAAGGACACTTTGATTATACTATTTTATGAGTTCTGCAATTTTTAATTTATATGCAGCAATAACGAGTAGATATTGGTCTCTTTTGAGATTAATTGCTAACATCTGTTGTAATCTGGCAAATGCTGATTTGACGGTTGCCAAGTCTATCCCCTAATCTACCAAAGAGTAATTGCTAAAAAAATTTCTAATAATTAATTGCAATTAATCTCCAAAAAAACAAATATTTACTCATTGTTGTTTTATATAAATCAAAAATTGCAGAATTCATAACATAATATAAACAAAATGTACTTTTCTAAACTTTTATCTTTTTATATTTTGAAGCATACAGCATCTACATTATAAAAACATGACAACACTGCTATACCGAAATTTTTTGTTCCACGTTTGACATTTGCGGCTATGATTAGTTTGTACTTTCGGTAAACTCAACCCAAAAACAGTAGTGGTAGTGTTTTTGCTCGTAGTTCAAATGTACTTTAGTAGTAGATGACCTTCATCTTCCTGCTTAATGCATCAAATTGTGACGTCTTATATAACCCTGTTTTAAACAGGAACCAGCTAAATGAAATGTGTAAGTGTAACTCGCATAACGAATTACTAGTACCTGTAGTACACTCTAGCAGGTATAAGAAACCCATACAATTATTAAATAGTGAAAGTGATTCATTATCATGAACATGTTTAAATCTGCCAGTCTGGTGTTAGTGAATGATGGTAACTTGGAAAAGAAAAGTGAAAATATAGTGCATGAGTTTCTTGTAACACAGCTGACAATACTGAAGTACCACGTAGAGAAATTGGTATTAACAGCTGATGACGATAATTTTGTGGCAAGTCAACTTATCGAGCTTTCAAAGCAATATGATATTCTTTTAGTTTTAGGCAATAATAATACAATTCTTAAAGCTCTATTAAGGCTATGTGATGAAGATTTAAGTTTTGCTGGAAAAGTTGAGCCTAAACATGAATCAGTTTGTGATTTGCCTTCCAAAGCCAAATTACTTACAAGTAATACACTTACTTATCCTGTGATATATTTCCAACGGATCTTTATTCTTAAAGAAGAATATGCCAAAGATCAATTTAAGGAAGTTTTGCAATCTCACTTGGAGCAATACATTGCACCACCATTATATAAGAAGTTCATTCAAGCGTATACTAATGGTAATACAAAAAGCGTTATAGACTCAATACACGATTTAGTTACTGTTAATGTACATAAAGAACAAGACTTTGTAACTCTTGAAGTGAGCAGTGAACAGCTGACAAATGTTGTGGAAGTAGAGCAAATGCTAGCAAGCAGACTTGACAGACAATTTCTATATTCATATGGGGACCAAGAATCTTTAAAGAAAGTGTTAGATAGTGGGGATCAACATATTGTTAAGAGTTTAGAGGTAAATATACAGTGTGCTTGTATCTTATAGAAAAATAAGTAAATACTGGTTTAGCACATTTTGAGTTTGACTGTTCTATAAACTAATTGTATTAACTAGTATTATTTCTCCAAAGTCATACTGTTATAAATGTTTAAGCTTATGCAATATTATACTTATTTTGCACATTTTTTTTTTCAGTTAATTTCTGCTTTATAATATTTTGCACTTTAATTTTATATATTTGGTGTGATCATCATCATCAGTGCTACTACAGCATTGCCTTCTCCAAATACCATTCTTACAGATTGTGCCCATTATGTCAGCACTGGTAGGATGAGTGTTCTATAATTGTTAGTTTGGTTTTTTGTCTTAAATCTCTGGTTTTTTGGATGCTTATTTAGTCCAAAGTAAGATTTGTTCACTATCAGTACTATTCATTTTACTTTGTAAGATGTGTTATTATTGTTATGAGAGAACCCAGATAGATAAACTTGTTTATTACCTCAAAATTATAGTGGTCTATGCTAAAGTTTTGATTGGCGCTTCTAGCTCTTTGTTGTGTTGTTGTGATATACAATATAAATTAATCTTTATATATTTTCTTGTTAAAGCATTTGAATATAAAATTTTTAGTTTTCATTTAAAGGAAGAGTTTATATGGTTTGCTTTCTTATTGTTTTTATGCATTGGATTCTATTTTATGTTATCAATTCCTTAGATATGGGATTTCTCAGGTTTTCATTTGATTTATCAGCACTTTTTGTTTCAATTTGGCCAATTTCACTTGTCAACTGTAACTATAAGTTGCAATTGAAAAATGCATTATCATCTTTGCTAATTTTCAGTAGTTATATCCCTAGGACATTGATAACAGACGAGATAATTTCATGACGGATGAGTGCTGTTAGCAAGCAACAAGCTTGAGAAATTTGTTATAAAATTATGAGGCATTCATCAATGTCCGAGGGATATTCAGCAGATAATTTTTCGAAAAAAAAAATCATAACTCAACATAATGAAACATTTAATTATTAAAAGTACAGTTAGTGAAAGTACAATTATTAAAATTTAAGTTAACATTAGATTCGTTGCTGTTCTCTACTATAGAAGATCTGTTACCACGCATAATATTTATAATCTTGTTGTGGTGTTCTTGATCAAGATTCAAGTATGGTTTTATAGAAACGTGACATTTTGAAATTTATTTGGATAAAGTTGTCAAACTCGATCGTGTTGTCATAGGGATTGAAAATTGCACTGAATGCAATTATCAGTCTAATGTTGACATGATTGGGTGAAATTGTTCCACATGACACAAAATGACGAAATTTGAATGGTTGTTAGAACAGTCGAAAAATTATCACTATAATATCACCTGAGTTACAGTAAATGAATATAGTTTTAAATGAAATATATTTATATGGAATTAAGCCACAATTGTTTATAATGAAAATTATAATTTATAATTATTAGAATTATCAGAAAAATTACAAAGGATAGGAAATACAGTGGAACCTTGATTATCCATCAGAGTATGACTGATTTAAAATATTCCGAAATTTTCGTCTGTTTTATTGTTACTTCACATTTTGCAACAGCTGAATTTCTTAATCGACATAAAATCATCAAATCTACATCATCTGCTTCTTCTTGCCGAGAATACCACTTGATGAATTGTTGCATGTGCGATGCAGCTTCTCTAGCTTCTTTACACAAATCTTTGTGAGTTGCAATAGGATTATCAACATCGCCACCATTAAAGTCTCTGTCAGCTTCTGAATCAGTTTCGTACACCTCTGTTGCCATTTCAATGATTTCATCATCTGTCAGCATTTGGCTGACGTTAATCAGAATTGACTCTTTGGTGACGTTAAAAGAGAGACAGATAATTGAGGTTCCACTGTAAGTACATCACAACAACATTCATATCATAAGATCTCTTCTGTCCAAAACCAAACCTAACAACACCTAAGAGAGATGAAAGAACTGCAACTACAAGATACCCTGTGAATGCAACAATTTCTATGTGAGAGAAACCACAACATCACTAAGTATCAGGATAAACAAGTGTAAAACATACATCAAAATCAGAGACTTGACAAATCACAAATTTGCAAATATGCCAGGGACAATGAGGATAGACTACAATGGAAAATGCATCAATAATCATGAAAGAAACATAATGAAAAAAGAAAAAATCAAAGAAAGCAAAGAATCCTACTTAAAGAAGAAAAATTTGTAGCAAACCCATCAGCAGAATACTAAATACAACATACTAAAAGAAAAAGTCAGCATTAACATACCAACATTACTTAGTGGATTAATAGAAAGTTGGAAACACGTCATCTATAATTATACAATACATATATGTACAACACACAATACAAAAACATATAATATACAGATGCATAATACACAAACAAATAATACAGAAAATAATCAGAATTTGGTATATTCCTGAGGGTAAAAGCAATACCTTCAGATGGCATGACTATTTGTGTATACCATGGATGCCAAAGTAAGTCACGCAGCAGTTTGAAATATCATAATCACTAAACAACTTTTTGGTTATAAAAACACCTCACTATTTTTTCATATAAGTAATCTTTTGATTTTGATTTCACTCCAGAAATCGGTTTGAAAATGATTTCTGGAGTGAAAATTGAAACATTAAACAATAATTATAAGAAGCAATGTTCATTAAAATCAATTGTGGCTTAATCCTGTATAAACATAATATTTAACTTAGGCATTCCACAATAAAACAGTTTCAGATAGTTTTGTATATGAAAAACATGTGAAAAAATTAAAATTATATTGCATTTTACAGATAACAGCTATAATTACATGCATTTTAATGGCATGTACTTAAATATTCACTTTTTGTAAGTGTTTCAAGATAAGGAAATTGTAGGTGACATGATCTAGAAAAAACAGAAACTTTTTTTATCAGCATGATATTTTTCCATTATACTATGCTACACAAATAAGTACATCTTCTTAGCCTTCTATCGTCCATGTTTGGACATAGGCCTCTCCCAACTCCTTCCATCAGTCTCTGTCCTGAGCAACATATTTCCAATTTGTTCTGGCTATTCTTTTAATGTCATCAACCCAACTCATCTGTGGTCTTTCTCTTGGTCGTTTACTTTCGTAAGGTCTCCAATGTTGTATTGTAGTATTCCAATGTTGGTCTTTTTGCCTAGCAGTGTGGCCCGCGAAGCTCCATTTAAGTTTGGCAATTTTTATTGTTATGTCTTTAACTTTTGTTTTTGATCTTACCCAGTCGTTCCTCTTTTTATCTGACACTCATATACCTAACATTGCTCTTTCCATTGTTCTTTCTGTTGTGGTTAGTTTATTCATGTTTGCCTTGGTTAGGGTCCAGGTTTGACATCCATATGTCATGCTAGGAAGGATGCATTGGTTGAATACTTTGCTTCTCAAGTATTGGGGTATTTTGCGGTTCTTAAGTATCCAACTAAGATTTCCAAATACTGCCCATGCTAGTCTTGCTCTTCTAGTAATTTCCGCACTTTGGTTCTCTTTGTCAAGTTGCAGGATTTAGCCTAGGTAGATATATTCCTGGACTTGTTTTATCTCACAGCCATTTATAGTTGGGGTCATATGTGTTTGTGATTATTTTTGTTTTTTTTTTCATATTCATTTTTAGGCCGACGTATTGGGAGCTGCCTGCTAGTTCCCCCAGTTATATTATATTAAATTATAGTTCATAATTTGCAGTTCCTCGAATGTGTTCGCTATAATCACTATGCCGTCAGCGAATCTGAGGTGATTTAACTTTTTGCCATTAACGTTAATGCCATAGGTTGACCAATTTGTAGTTTTTAACTAAGTGCATACAATGATATAAAACTAAGCACATGCATATTTTTGGTTTTCAGCTTCTCTGATAAATTCTTAGTAATTATAGCACTTCTTTTAATATCATTGCTTTTGGAATGTTATAAGATTTTTTATTATCCACTAAATCCTTCCTGGATAATGTTCCCAGATCTAAAAACATCAATTGATAGTTAAATGTATCTAGAGTATAATTTTATTATTTACAGGTCATTGAAAGATGCATTACAACATATGGACCAGACAACACCTTTCTCAGTTTCAATGGTGGCAAAGATTGTACAGTTCTTTTATACTTAGTATATGCCTACCTACAAGTAAATTATCCAGACTATAAGAAGCAGATGTTCTGTCTCTATGTACAGGGCAAAGAACCATTTCCAGAACAAGAAGAATTCATCTCACTGTGCCAGATCTACTACAATCTGGATATAATGGTGGTTAGGGGTGGTATCAAGGATGCTTTACAGGAGGTTTTGACCACAAAGCCTAATCTAAAGGCTTGTTTTATGGGTACCAGGAGAACAGATCCACATTCAGGGGATTTAGAAGATATGCAGGTGAGATATAAATAATAATTATTTATTACTTACACAGTGTGAACCAAAGTTGTTCCAAACTACAAATTTTTGTAGTAAGCAATTACATTTAAATTTTAACTATATTAAGTATTTAATTATCATCATCATGCAACCTCTTCTGTCCACTGCTGGACATAGGTCTCTCCCATTTTTCGCCACTCTTTACGGTTCTGTGTGTCTTGTTGCCATTTCTTGGATATTTGTTTAATGTCGTCCATCCAGCGTGATGGTGGCAGTCCTATGCTGCGTCATCTTGAGTCTTTTAGTCTTGCTATGTGACCTACCCAATTCTATTTCAGCTTGGCTAAACATTTAATGACATCAGTGATACCTGTTCTTTGCCTTAGTTCTTGGTTTCTAATTTCGTCTTTTTTTGTCACGCCCAAGAATCGATATTTCCTTGCGCCTTTGTGCCACTCGCATTTTTAATGCTGTTGTTTTTGTGAGAGTTTCTGCTCTGTATGTCATAATAGGAAGAATGCATTGGTCTGTATTGGTCAAGGTATTTAATCATATCATAATAAATTTGATTTATTTATTGTTTACTATAAGCATTTGTAAACATAATGTCAATAATTTTCATCCAATTTTCTAATTGATATTGATATTGAAAATAAATAATAATTAAGATACAAGTCTTCTCTTCTTCAAGTATCATCTCCGTGGCGGAGGACGGCAATCATCATAGCTATTCGGACTTTTGAGACAGCTGCTCTGAAAAGTTCATTTAATGTACATCCATACCACTATCTCATGTTGCGCAGCCTCTTTCCTAGAATCTTCCCCTGCATAATCAGTTGGAGCAAGGTATATTTCTCTCCATGTGTAATATGTCCGAGATATTCCAATTTTCTTGTTTTAATTATATTTAAAATTTCTACTTCTTTATTCATCCTTCTCAGAACCTCTTTGTTTGTGACATGTTCTGTCCACGATATTTTCAAAATTCTTCTATACACCCACAGCTCGAATGATTCCATTTTAAATTTGCTCTAGCCTTTTCGATTCTGATTTTGATCTAGTGAATGTAATCATTTGTAGAGTTAATCATTTTCTCTAGATACGCATATTTGTCCACTTGTTCGATGTTGTTTCTGTTTATTAAAAGATTCTCGTTATTTCTTTGAGTTTTCGATATTCTCATAAATTTCGTCTTCTTGCCATTCATTGTTAGACCATACTCTTTTCCATACTCCGCTATTCTGGTCAATTTTCTCTTATTCTTAACAGAAAACTAAGATAAACCAAAATTTTAAAATCTACACATGCAAGAAAAAATGAAACAATACAAGCTTGGTGCTAACACAACTGTTTGACTATTTTTTAACTTTTTTGTAACATATAGTACCTACACAAATCTAGTTGAAATTAATTCTCATGAAAAAGTTCAACCATTTGAAAAATTGGTTTATAAAAACAATAGTTATTGTGGTGAAAAGGAATAATGAGTCCAAGAAGCTCATTACAATAAATTTTTCATTAAAAATTCCATAAAAGAAAAATATAAAGAATAGATTTCTACAGGTCTCAAGAGATTGCAGACTCATGTGATTCATTACCAGCATTAGGGAAGCCTATTGTATAGTATAATCTGGAGACCAAACACATGACCCATATTTAACTATGAGACACTAATAGTACTATTAAGTATGGAGCATACCACTGTATAATAGAATAATGGTAAAGATCTAATTGATAATTCTCTACTGCAACACATAACAAAATTAAAAGTTTCTTAAAGGCTCCATTGATAATTTGTGAAATATGTTCTCTGAAATCCAACAGAACATCCATAACTAGATGCAGGCATTTGGAAGGTTCAACTCAATGCTGTTGAGATCATATACATAGTCTAGAGAGTTAGCTCAATGTGAAAAATTATAATAACACATTTAAGTTAATGCCAAAGCAATTTTAGGTAATCAATTATGTACTTACAAACTTATCTGTGGGTTTACACAACATATTTTGTTTGCTGTTGACCAGTTCCCAATCATCTTGTCATATATATATATATATATATATATCCTTTTAGTGAGGTCCTTTTTTTCATTGCTGTTTTTATTTGCCCTTTACACTTTTCCTCCTGTTTGGTCTCCATTTCCATGTTTCCAGCGGGATGTTTGTCTCATTCATACTTCGCATATGTCCATACCAGAGTACGAAGAAGTAAGAAGATAAAAATGAAGGTATAACAAGAATAACTGGAGTAAGAAAATACTATAGTCAATAATGACATACATAGCAGAAACACAGCTTGATTCAGAGAACAAACAGCATGTTAGAAAAGACTTACAAAAAATGATGGTAAAACAGCATCGGACAGAGGTAGTTCAGATATATGATGTAGGTGTAAGGTGGAGAACATCAAGCACTAGGTCAAAAATAGAAGAGTAGAATGGAACGATCATATAAGCCGAATGACAACCAATAGTAAAGACGGCAAGAAACGGTTCCCAATAGGAAGACGATTTGTAGGAAGACCACGAAAACTAGAACAGCAATCCGACAACTTAACTCAGTATGGTGGGATAGACACCTAAATATGAAGACAAAAACACACATTTATAAAAGTGTGTAACAGTAAGATAGTAACAACAGAGATGGAATGCCTGCGAAGATGGTGCAGAGTAACAAGAATGGATGAGAGAAGTAATGACGAAATAAATCAAAGAACATCAATAGAAACAGACATATGTATATAGGACAAAAAAGACTAAAGTGGTATGGACATGTAAGAAGAACCAGCGACAGCAGATGGATAAAGAGAATAACCGAATTGAGCCCCTTAGGAAGGAGGAAAAGAGGACGACCCCGAAGATCCTGGAGGAACGAAGTAGACGACGCCATGAGTAAGAGAGGCCTAAACGATGGAGAATGGGACAACAGAGAGAGATGGAAAGGTTGAACGAGGGAGGGCCAGTGAATACTGTACGATCCCTGAATATATACCACGAAAACGATGGAACAACAAGTTACTAGAGGCACATTGAAAAACAGACTCATGTTTACATAAAAAGAAAAAGAAGAAGAAGAGAAGAAAATAGTAAAACAACTTGAATGGTTTGAACCTTAGACAAGGAAAGAGAGAGAACGCGTAACCGTTTCGCTAAAATTGGCTACGTACAGGGTGATTTTAGAACAAACATCTTCAGCAAATAAATTAAGTACAAGAAAAGCCAAATGAAAATGCACTTACATAGTGGTGTATACAAACATACATATAGCGACTGCATCAAAAACTGACATCGGTCAAACTGGTAGAACTTTTAACAAAGGTATAACAGAACAAAAAAGGACTTTCAATAATAGAAAAACAGATTCTACATAGGCACTTCACCTTCTAGATTGGAATCATTCTTTTAATGATGATAATTAAAAATACAGACATAATTCTGAATGACCAACTTGAGACAAACCATGGACGTGTTTATACGTCCATGAGACAAACAGTTCTCCCATCCTCAACCTATTCAGTTAACCTTTCCGTGGCCGTGCGGGGTATTTTAGGTACCCCAGATGCGGTTTTGTTTTTATAACTTTTCCAAATATTTTTATTTTTCTTTATCCCTCCAGGTAATCTTACAAAATATATTACCAAATCATTTTTTTGTAAAAATTATTAAATATAATTTCAATTTTATAGTAAAATTGAAATTAATTCCTTGGGGTACCTCCGTTACCCCGCACGGCCTGCTGCGTATTGAAATCATACGCGTATATTCCTGTCGTCGGCCAGCCAAATATGATGTAAACGAAATGAAATGAAATGTAAACAATATTCTATTTTTAGATTACTGTTAGACTAAAATAATCAGAATTAGATTACTTTAGTCGATCTTAGTAGTAATTTCTTTGCTTTGCGGTACGTATTTGTGTATTTCGGAGAAAATGGCGCGACGTAAATATTATACTGAAGAGGAATTACGTAGAATTTTAGAAGAGAGTGACAATAATGAATACGAGATCAGTGATAGTGAATCAGAAAGTACCGATAATGTCGAAGAACAACAAGCAGTTCTAGATGAACTTACAGTCTCCGAAAACGAAAGTGAAAAGTCTACTTTTGAGCCAATTGCGGAAATACTAAAATCGAAATCAGGATATGAATGGAAAACGCAACCCCCTGCACCTACAAGGCGCAAGGCTCATAATATATTAAATTATCGAGAAGGTTTACAAAATAATAGGTGAGTATACATTTTGAAAATAAACCAATGTTTTGATTAATTCGCAATTCGTTTTAGCATGGCTCAAACTTCAATAAAAGAAGCATTCCAATGCTATCTAAATGACAATATGCTAGCTGACATATGCACTCACACAAATCGACATGGAGAAGTATGTTCTCAAAAATTTAATGAAACTCATCCTGATGATCAAATGCGTTGGAAGAATGTTACAATTACTGAATTATACGCTTTCATTGCAGTGCTTATAGCAAGTGGGAGGAATCACGGAAGAAAACTCCACTTGTCGGAAATGTAATGTCTAGAAATAGATTCAAAATGATATATAGACACTTGCAATTTGATGACCCCTCAACAAGAGCAAATAGAATAATAGAAACAAAAGATAAACTACAAGCAATTCGCAATACATACGATCAATTTGTAAAAAATTGCGTTGATAATTATTCACCTGGTGAAAATATCACAGTCGATGAGAGATTAGCTACATTCAGAGGAAAATGTCCTTTTAGAGTTTATATAAAAAGTAAACCTGGTCGATATGAAAACATTTGGGTTTGTTCGGACTCTAATACTGCTTATATTTTGAACAGTCAGATATACACTGGAATGATAGAAAATCAACGAGAAATAAATCAGGGTTTTAGGGTAGTTCTAGACATGGTTAAACCCTATTTTGGATCAGGGCGTGGAGTTACCACAGACATTTTTTTTACCTCTGTTTCCCTAGCCGAAGAACTGTTAAGACGTCAACTTACAATTACGGGAACTCTAAGGGCCAACAGAAAA